GTGTCTGTTGTGGGGAGGGGAAGGGAAAGGAGTTTGTCAGCCACTCTGAGACTCCGAGTGAAGGGCGGGGTATAAATCAAATTTCTTCTTCTTTTCTTCTTCAGTGGGCCTCATGTGTCTCAAAGCGGCGTACAATCACCTTCCCTTCCTCTCCCCACAACAGGCACCTTGTGAGGCAGGTGAGGCTGAGAGAGTCCTGAAAGAACTGTGACTGGCCTAAGGGCACCCAGCGGGCCTCATGTGTCTCAAAGGGGCTTACAATCATCTTTCTTTCCTCTCACCATAACAGGCACCTTGTGAGGCAGGTGGGGCAGAGAGAGTTCTGAGAGGACAGTGGTTGGCCCAAGGGTCACCCAGGATACTTCATGTGGAGCGGGGAATCAAATTCCAAAATTTCAAAAGTGCCCAGGATTCAACAAGGTTAGGGAATCTTATCTTAGGCATCTGGGAGATTGGTTCCATGTTAGTGTACTTCCAAGTAATTAAGCAATCATTTCGCTAAGACTATCCAACCACCTCCATGCACCTTAAGCACCAACAACAGTGTGACAGTGGTAAATTCTGACTATAAATCACTTTCAAACAACTGATGATCCAAATTTTGAGAAATTATTCATGGCCTAGGAATACGGGTTTTAACTATTTTTTTTGTTTAAAGATCCCCTATATAGGATGTTGTAAAACTCCCCGGATTTTCCATAAATTCATCCATCATCGGAATATCTGACAGGAGACCAATTCCATTCTCTCAAAATCTTTTGTAGCGTCTTATGTTGCTTAAGGCGTTTTGTTTATTATTTCATCCTGCCTTTCCATCGCAACCACATTCAAGGAGGCATACTTTTAACAAAAATATATAAAAGAACGCCAAAGCTTTGAAACAAAGTCAAACAGCATTAAATAAGAATAAACAGGATCCACCAAATCAAAATTAGATTTTGTTAAAAGGATGGGTAAATAGTTGAAAAGTATGGGTAAACATGGGTTAAAAAAAAGAAAGACAGCGCCAGGGAATTCTGCCACCACAAAAACTGCCCTTTCTCTGGAAGCCAGCCACCTAATCCCCGGAAGGTAGAGGCACCCGGAGAAAGACTTCAGAAGGCGGTTTTAATTGGTGTGCAGATTCATAGAGAATCAGATGACCTTTCTGATATCTCAGTCCCAAGCTGCTTAGAGATTTATTGGTCAGTTGTCCCTGGGGACCAACCGGGGAGCAGTGAAGTTATTTGAAAAGCTGGGGATATATATTCTATTAAACAATCTATCCGGTAGACTTGTGTATACACAGCCTTGCCTTGTATATGTTGTATTCTTTTTTCCTAAGATGGGGGGGGGGGGGGGGGGGAGAATTAAAGGGTCTATTTTTACTAGCCATGAAAGCGTACTAGGCCAAGGTAGAATAAGAGTTAACAGTTAAGGTAGCATCGGGAGGAGAGAAAGAAATTAACTTTTGAAGAAATTATCCCTGTAAGGTGTTACTCTTGACACACTGCAGTAAAAGCGGTGTTATTTGGCACTCAGGGGAATGGGGGTTGCTGATTAATCAAATGGGATCCATGCTCAAAGTTTATTGCTCAGCCCCGCCCCCTACCCAGAGGAATCCAGAGTGCCCAAATCCCACCACACTGGCAATGTCATGGCAACAGCCCCCCCACGCCTGGCAGGATCTTAGGCTTGCCAAGTCCCCCCGGGGGGTGGGGAAACTACCACCCCAGAGGCCCGTTCCCCGCAGCCGCTGCATCGGGCCCCGGGGGGAGCTCCACCCCGACGTGCACGTCACCAGGAACTGACGCGATCATGCGGGGCACGTTGGGGGCCATGACCATCTGAGAAAAAACTCTATGGTTTTCTCTCAGATGGTCATGGCCCCGCCCCCAGCCTGCCCTGCGTGATCGCGTCACTTCTGTGTGACGTGGATGTGGCGCGCACATGCGTGCTCTGGGAGCAACCCGGGAATCCCCCGCTCCGGATCGAGGTAATACTTGGCAACCCTACAGGATCCTTTCCCTTTTCCTGAGCCATGGAACCATCTTACACAGCGGGCAGATGAGCAAGGCAGCTACCCAGGAGAAAACTGCCAAGCATTTGCATTTAGGAAAGCACTGGGGGAAAAGTTTTATGAATCCCATTAGCTGCTTTCGGTTTTCGCCTTTGTTACATAATTTTTCAGGATAGTTGTATTATGGTAATTGCATACATGTGCCCCATTAATTTATTTGTACTGGACTGTAGGGTTAGGCACGAACTCAGAAAAAGGAGTTCAATTCGGGATTCGGGGTGGCCCCTGAACCAAACCAACCAAAAGGTCCCCACCTGAACTGAGCTGGTCTTGCGAGTTTGGTTCCCTCTTACTCCTGGTCGCAGTGAGCCACCAATGAGAGAAAGGGGGTGGGAACTTTCTCCTGGCTGAAGCTTCTGGGACCAGGAGAAAGGGTAGGAACTCTCAGGAAGGGTTAAATGGCTGCCAGCCATTTAACCCGTTGGTTTTGCTTCCAGGGGGGAGCAAAACCAAGGAGTTTAATGGCTCACAACCATTTAAACCTAATAGCACAATGGGCTTGCGAGTCAGCTGTTAGATTTAAATGGCTAGCAGCCATTTAAACCATTGGTTTCGCTTACCCACTTCAAAGTGGGGGGAGGGAAACCGAGGGGTTTAATGGCTGGCATTCATTTAAACCTAACAGAAGAGCAGGTCTGCTGGTCAGCTGTTAAGTTTAAATGGCTGCCAGCCAACCATTTTAACAAGAACCTTTTGCAGTTCTGCAGGGCCTGCAAGACAGAGCTCTTCCACCAGGCATTTAATTAGGGGCCGCCGCTACTGCAGGTCGCTATTGCAGGCCGTTACCGCAGAGCTCTGGTCTGTGGTTTTAACATCCAACTGATTATGAGCAGAAACATCGTGGAACATCTGGGCAGTGGAAATTTACTCTGACAATATACCAGCTAGGTTAATTTTTAACTGCTGCCAGCATTTTGTATCTATATTGTTTTTATTTGTGTGGTTAAATATTTGTGTAATTTTAATGTATTTATGTTTTTATGGAAGCCGCCCTGAGCCCGCTTTGCGGGGAGGGCGGGGTATAAATTTGATAATAAATAAATAAAATAAATAAATAAAATAATAGCTTACCAGTGAATCTCGTGCCACTCAGCTGTCCAGCTTATTTATATTTAATTCAATTTATATCCTACCCTTCCCGCGAGCGGGCTCAGGGCGGGTAACACCCAAACCGAACTGGCCACAAGTCAGGGAAATGTTCAGGGAAGGCGCCTTTCCCAAACATCAGTTCATAAACTCTGAACTGGCCCAAGTTTGGGCCAAATTTTGGTTTGTGAACCGATTTGTGCCCATCCCTACTGGACTGTTTTACAATTTTTAACTACCTAGAATAAACTAATAATGAGGGAGGATAAACTTTATTAATCCTTTATTTTTTAGCCAATGATCAGTCTGAACGAGGGCCCCGCTTTTTATTATATTACTGCAAAAATACTTCAGGATACTTCCCTATACTTTGTATTCTGATCCTTTCCATTCTGAATTCTCCATCACTAATTATGCTTTCTGCCCCTTTCACCATTTGTTCCTATTACCCCGAATCCTATACTTTCCCCTCCTCAACACCCCTTCAGCCACCCGCCTTACTTATATCTAAGTGAGGTCTCAAACCTGCCACCAATCAAGTGAAATTACTGGAGCCATATGGCACCTGAATTAGGAATGAGTCTCTTTTATTCCGTTTTATATCCCTTTCTTCTAAGCGTACTCTCCACCATGAAAATCAGTGCTTCGGATCCCAGCAGGGGGGAAAAGGCAGCCGTACTATAAATAGCAATGACTTCTATGTCGCCAGATTAAATTTATTAATATTTTGTAACTGAAACAACTCACTCTCGCATTTTATACTACAACAAGCCAGGCTTGAATAATTCATGCCCTGAGGCATGGTGCCTCAGATCTCAACTAATGCCCGAAGATTGCTTCAAAGAAGAAAAGTTATATACTTACTCATCCAATTCTTCATCCTCTGTTTTTGATGTGTCAGCATAGAGGTATTTGCTCATGTCCACAGGACGTATATTTTTTCTTTTTGCAGGCTGGGGAGGAAAGTCCTTGACGGGTGCTAGAGTCTCCAGTTCAGGGTCTGGCTCATCGAAAGGGTTTACATATTCGGCACATTCCTCTTCTTTGAAGGGGTTATATTCGTCGTCGTCGTCACCGTAATATGATTCTTCCGGTTTCGAAGATGACGCCATCTTGACACTGGGTTCTACAGAAAGCAATATATTTTAAAAATCCGTTATAATCTGTAACCCTTTTGCATCCCCAAAGATGGATTACTACAAGGCACCGTGTGTGTGGCTACCCTTGAAAATTATCTGAAAGCTCCTGTTGGTACAGAACATGGCTGCTCACCTGCTGGTATGAGTTCAGAGGTTGGCGCGTATTATTATGACCTGAAACAGCTCCACTGATTGCTGATTTGGTTCCAAGAACAATTTATGGTGTCAATAATCTCTTTAATGCCCTGCACTATCTGGGACATGCCTACCTGAAGAACCATCTCTCTTAATATGATCTACCTCAGGTCTTCTCAGAGTTTCCTCCCATTGGTACTATATCTTTTTGATGTGTGCATGTGTCTATGTCAGGCCCATAGCTACAGGGTTTTTTTTGAGGGGCTCCGCCCCCTTTCTTAAAGGCACAGCCCCACAAAAATTTCTCCTGTAAATGCTTTTTTCAATCATTTAAAAACATTTTTAAAGGCATGCACTCCTTTAAACAGAGTGGGGTGCTGTAGTTGACTAATTCCTGAACTGAATTGGAGTTGGAGTAGGTGACCTCTAGGATCCCTTCTAACACTGCGTCAAGAAACTGGTCTCCTGTAAGAGAGTGTTTCTGCCTCAGTGTTCGCTTTCTTGACTAAAGAGGTCACCTGCCGGCTTGTTCTCAGAATTATCGCTTAGGCTGGCAGAAGTGATTAACTTGCAGCAGCTGAGAACTATCATCAAAACAGCTTGCAGTTTAGAGATCTATTTTGGCAACAGCTTTCTATGGGCTAAATGGCTTTTCTTTCTGCACTGAGAACTTCAGGCCCACCAGGAAAAAAACACCTTGCCCCACAAACCACAAAATCTTGGCTACAGACCTGGTGTGTGTGTGTGTGTGTGTGCCTATGCCTGGAAGTCATCCCAACCTCTGGTAACTCCTAATGGGGCACGGAGGACGTTCAAAGAAGAGGTTTGATAGCCTGCCTCCTGGCCCTGGTATTCTCTGGAGGTTTCCCATCCAAATACTTGTCAGGGTCGGCCCTGCTTAGCTTCTGAGATCTGAGGAGATTGGGCTTGCCTGGGCCATCTAGGTCAGGGCCTCCCATTGGTACCCTCTCTTAGGCATTATAAGAACATAAGAGACGCCAATATTGGATCAGGCCAATGGCCCATCCAGTCCAACACTCTGTATCACACAGTGGTCAGAAACACCAGGTGCCATCAGGAGGTCCACCGGTTGGGCCAGGACATTAGAAGCCCTCCCACTGCTGCCCCCACCAAAGCACCAAGAATACAGAGCATCACTTGCCCCAGACAGAGAGTTCCTATCTATACCTTGTGGCTAATAGCCACTCATGGACCTCTGTGCTCCATATGTTTATCCAATTCCCTCTTGAAGCCGTCCATGCTTGTAGCTGCCACCACTTCCTGTGGCAGTGAATTCCATGTGTTAATCACTCTTTGGGTGAAGAAGGACTTACTATTATCTGTTCTAACCCGACCGCTCAGCAATTTCACGGAGTGCCCACGAGTTCTTGTACTGTGAGAAATGGAGAAAAGGACTTCTTTCTCGACCTACTCTATTCCATGCATAATCTTATAAAGCTCGATCATGTCACCCCTCCGCTGTCATTTCTCCAAGCTAAAGAGCCCCAAGCGTTTTAACTTTTGTCTGACTGCTACCTGGGTGACCTCTTCAGCAGCAGCTCCGGAAACAGTTTGCCAGAGGAGGGCTTGTACTTATATCCAAGATCACGGGAAATTCAAGACCCTGCTTTTTAGACATCCCTTTGGATGAATTTTGGGCCAAACAATGAGCTATGCCTGTGAAGGACAAGCTGGAGCCAGTTACTGAAGCCATCCTGGTGTCGCATTTGCAGCCCGATCTTAATGTTTTGATACTAACTGTGGCTTGTTACGTAAGCTGCCTTGAGTCACTATTTAGGGTGAGAAAGGCAGGATATGAATGTTTTCATAAACGAAACACAAACAAATCAATAGGGAACGAAGGCCCAATCTGTCACGCAGGGCGGCACGTTTCTCCCCGATAAATCAATCTTAGCGGATTACAAAATAGTTATCCTAAATGACGTTGGTAAGGGGAGATAAGCATCTTGTCACGGTGTTCTAGGTAGATCTATCCCTAATGAGAAAATGTCAGGTTAGCTGAACGTGGCTCAGCACCTCGGTATCTAGCGCAAGTACGGACAAGGCCACGGGAAGAAGAGTTTCACAGAGGCATCTGCATGGGAGACCGAAACACTCAGACGGTGCTCGGACAAGACTCGGGGAACACAATGCCAAGCAGCTGTCCCCAGTAGGAGATTCTGGGCAAATGCCATTTTCCTACACACAGTCTCTACCTCAAGGAACGGTGGCTGTTCTTTCTATTTACATTAGCAGAGTGGGCATTCTTTTTGCTCTCAGCACAGACGTAACCGAGGCCATAACAGTTACGGAGCGAGGACTGTACAGCCTATTATGGAGCAAATAATGGATTAACTGATTGTACACAGGTGCAGGAAATCCAGTGGTGAATGTTTTAATAATAACTGAGTGGTGTTAAGTCGCAACAGACTCCTGGAGACCCTAGGACCAATGCTCCCTCTAAGCTGTAGAGTCTTATGAGCAAAAATTCTACTTTGTGAGCTACTGGTATTAAAGCTGTGAGCGAGCGATTTGGGTACTCCATAAATGAGTTTGCTCTGGAGCTATCCTTCCTGAGCTAAGACAAAAATGTGTGAGCTGGAGGCTAAAAAACTGTGAGCTAGCTCACACTCAGCTTAGAGGGAACACTGCCTAGGACTGTGGGATTTTCGTGTGTGTACGTGTGCACGTGCGTGCCTGGAAGTCATGGTGACTTCTGGCGACCCTAGTGGGGCGTGGAAATTTCAGAGAGGTGGCCTGCCTCTGAGTCCTGTCCCTGGTATTCTGTGGAGGTCTCCCTTCCAAGTACTTGCCAGGGTCGGCCCTGCTTGCCTTCCGAGATCTGATGAGATCAGCCTTGTCTGGGAGTGCTCCCTCTAAACTGTGGAGTCTTGTGAGCAAAAATTCATCTTTGTGAGCTCCTGGGATTAAAGTTGTGAGCGAGTGATTTGGCTACTGCATAAATTCATTTGCTCTGGAGCCCTCCTTCCTGAGCTAAGACAACAATGTGTGAGCCGGAGGCTAAAAAAACAGTGAGCTAGCTCACACTAACTCAGCTTAGAGGGAACACTAGGATTTTCAAGGCAAGGGGTGAGCGGAGGCTGTTCACCACTGCTTTTCTCTGTTTAGTCTTCCTTGGTGGTCTCCCATCTGAGTACTGACCGTGGTCGACCCTGCTTAGCTTCCAAGCTCTGACAAAATCAGGCTAGTTGGGGATATTCGGCTTAATATTTAGGTACATTTATATTTTCAGAAAGCGTTTAAATAAATCATCTATATGACACACTGGCACCTAAGCAGACAACTGAGCACACACCAGCGGTGCGTGAGGTTAAAAAATTGGGTAGGGCTCGAAAAGCGTGCTCTCAAAAGAAAGCGATTTGTATACTCAAACAACAAAATCGCTTGTAATAACACTTAGCACTTACATTGTTCTTTACATCTTCAAAGGTCTTTGTAACATTAACTAATTAATCTAAATCCTTCTGTCAAATGCAGTTAGTGCAGAGATCTAGGATGTATTACTAATCCGAGACAAAGCTAAAAAGGAAGGACCGTTGCTTTGTAAACTGGTTAAACCTCCTTTAAGAATTACAGAATGACGAAGTTCTACTTTTGGGAAAACTGGACTTTTTTAAAAAAAAGACAACAATACAATATTGGATGCTAGGGAACAGAAAAAAATTCAGTTTAATAGAAGAGTTCATGTGCACAAATTCCCTTATGGAAGTTTTTAAGCCAAGGTACCCCTTTTAACTTCCGTATCATGGAAACAGTCAATGTGTTCTACAGACGGCTGTATTGTGCCTACTTACAATTTAAGCCTCTACACACAAACACTTCCCTTCCTGACATAAATTCTTCTGGCAAAAGGAGAAATCGAAAGGATGTTTTGGATGAGCAGACAATCAAAAACATTACGGGCCCCTGTAGTTTAAAGAAAATTGTTTAGACTTCTTCAGTATATCCCCCCTGTATTTAGCCAGATTACATCTTAGATTCTCCATGGCAAATTTCATAATAAGATCAATGATTGTGCTCTTACAACAAACTGAATTTTCAGGCGGTATGACTTCCTGCCAAGTGCAGAGATCAGGGGGCGCTTCACCAAAACTCCATATTCTTTTCTTTCTTTTTTAAAAATCCCCGGAGGGATATTTTTTATTTTGCAAATACTACAAAAACTACAAAGAAATATTAGGGAAGGGACTACAACTAAGGATAAAGGAAAGCAAACCACACTAAACTAAAACCCCAAGAGGAGGAGATCTTTTCACTGTTAATAAAATTGTTAGTACTACAAGTGTTAATATCACAATATAGTAGAGTTCTTGCTTATAACAATTCACTATTTATATGTTATTTTATTAGTTGTTATGAGAGAAATCTCTGATCATCTT